CAGGTACGGCCCCCCGTCCCGGCGCTCGGAGTACAGAGTGATCGTCTCGGGTGAGTCATTCCTCTCTCTCCATCCTAGCCCAAGCGCTCCCCCGGGGTCCTCCAGGCAAGCTTCCCAGCGAGGGGTGATGCAGCTCCCAAGTTTTTTCTGAAAAAGCATCGCCTCGCGTAGCCTGGGAGGAATGCTCTCCGTGCCGTGCTGTGAGGGCTCCTCGAGGCAGCCTGTCTGCTCACTGAATAGTCTCTTCTGTTCGGTGTGAGCTGACGCCGTAACAACCGGAGGTGAGAATGTAATCTGGTTTTAAAGCGATGTCTTGCTTTTTATATAGGGCTGCCTCCAAGTGGAAGTTGGCAGGATTTAAAGGATCACATGCGTGAAGCAGGTGATGTATGTTATGCTGATGTTTTCCGAGATGGCACTGGTGTCGTGGAGTTTGTACGGAAGGAAGATATGACCTACGCTGTGCGAAAACTGGATAACACTAAATTTAGATCTCATGAGGTAGGTTTTATACTTACTTTCTTTGGCCAGAATTGGATACGAGGGGCTTAACAGTAGGATTTGAAGGTAAGGAACGTGTGGTGTTCATTGTTTATATACACAGCGGCTAAATAAGTCTGTGGCCAGTTTGTCAGGAGATAGACTCGAAAGCTTTGATGTCTATTTCCGTGCTGTAGTAAACATTATCTTCAGTCTGTCAGCATGCCTAAAAAGATGGCCCTAAAGCCTAGACTTTTCAATCGAAAGTTCTATCTATTCAATAGGGAGAAACTGCCTACATCCGTGTTAAAGTTGATGGCCCAAGAAGTCCAAGCTATGGAAGATCTCGGTCACGCAGCCGTAGTCGTAGCAGAAGCCGTAGTCGAAGCAACAGCAGAAGCCGCAGTTATTCCCCAAGACGAAGCAGAGGATCTCCACGCTACTCTCCCCGCCACAGCAGATCCCGATCTCGTACATAAACGATCACTAGCTCTGATCTTTTTGTAGAACCCCATGTTGTACACAGTTTTCCTTTACTTAGTACAGCCTTTCTTTTTTTTTTTTAAATTCAAACTGTTTTATTCAAATTGGCTGAAGTGTTGAATTGCATTCTTGTGTAAAATCCCTAGTGAGTATTTGCTCCTTAACATCAACATTCCCCTCATGTCTTTGGTAAATTGTATTTTAATTGATGTCAGTCAGGATTGGTTCCGTTTAGTTCTAGTTAAATGCCAACATTCTTCCAACTGTAGTATTGCTGTGTAAATGTCTCCGTGTTCAGCTGTGGTTTATACGAGCTGGGGATGTTGGGATGTTTGTGGCTAACTTGTCTCTTCTGGGGGATCTTATATTTTATCTTGCCTTTTCATGTGTCTTTCTGTAGACATATCTGAAGAGATGGATTAAGAATGCTTTGGATTAAAGGATTGTGGAGCACATGTCAATCATTTTAGGATTGTCAAAAGGAGGATTGAGGAGGATCAGATCAATAATGGAGGCAATGGTATGACTCCAAGTGCTATTGTCACAGATGAACTTGGCAGTATTGACCTTATACCGAGCGGTTAATTGAGTCCATGCACATACATGTCACTTCAGGCATGTTTTAGTTACCGCAGGCTACGGTTGCTCTTTAAAACCCTTTTTTGGCAATTGTGGCTAAATACTTGCTTTTGTAATTCTCGATTCTGGATTTTTTAAAGGCATAGACTGGGACAGGCGGGTGGGAGCAGTGGTTGACTTTGTCATGCGGCATTTGGTTCCAAGTGTTAATGTTGCATAGTATTCGTACCCTCGATCTACAAGTGTAACTTTAAATTGGAGTATAATATCAATACTGCTAAAATCTGCATGTCCTCTGTGTGACTGATACAGCATTGCTATTTCATTTTTTTTAAAGTATCAGAATGAAAGCAAAAGATGAGAAAACCTAGTTGGGCATAACTTAATTCTTAGCCCTGTCCCCTCAGACTAATTGACAGTAGAGTCACCGATGGGTTCGAGAGCTCTGGTTAGCTAAGTTACCTCCGGCTGGGAGTGCTGGCTGCAGTTGGGCCCTGCAGCAGGTGGATAGCTTTAGCAGAAAGCTTTTCTGATGTCATAAGCGTTTTTTGCAACCACAAAACCTGTAGCACAGCACCATGGGAGCGATGAGTACGTTGGCGTTTTCAGTTGACATATTGTACATATTTACAATGTTTCCTCCAAATAGTAATTAACATTTCTAAAAAAGAACTTAGCATCACCATTCAACAGTTTGTTTTGGGGAATTGATAGTTATTACTGTACATCTGTATTAATTGATGGCAAACATAACTCATCATTCCCCAGAATCCTATTTTTTCATTACAGTATCTAACTTTTTGCCTCCTCTTTTTTGGTTTTGCTGGTTATAAAGGTTTGGATTGGAGAGGGCTCACTGGATCCCAATCCTTGGAGCTGGATCATTGGATTCAAATCATAATGTGGATAGGATAGGGAGGCTGAATTACAAGGAATCATGGAGCGGGATCAGATTACCAGGAACATAGGAGTGGATTCCTGCCCCAACCAAACCGCATTCGTGTGGATTTTTTTATTCAACTCAATTGGCTATTCCAAAGAATTTTTGTTCCTATTTTTGACGATTGGAGCCCTTAAGATGCACGATGGAGTTTTTCATTTTTTGGTAAGAGGAGCAAAGCGAGGACCTGGAGAGGTACGCTGGAGCGATCTCCTTGGAAGGATTCAGCACAAGTAGATGGTAAACATTAAAGGGGAAAAAGGGGGGTTTGTTTAAAAAAAAAAAAAAAGTAAGTTCATTTCTCTAAATTTAAAGACAAAAATTGGAGTTAAAGATGAAGTAGGCTTTCAATTGGCTATTGTCTTTTCTTTGACAAATAAAATTTTTTTAAAAACGTGCATGGTTGTCATCATCTGTTGCCCAGTCTCCGCGCTTGCTTGCCCCTCTGGCTTTGTTTGTGGCAACTTGTCAGACGCAGGCTTTTGTGTTGGACAGGGCTGTAGTGTTTCCTGGGAAGCGGTGATGGTTGGGCTTCTAAATTGGGATTGGTTCCCTGGAATGGGTGGGATTTATTATAGGAGTAGGGGAAAAGAAAGAATTCTCCCAGCTTGCTAGAGGCTGCTTTCCTATTGCCAAGAGCACTCGGGTGAAGGGGTCGCAGAGGGGCAGTGCGGGTATGCAGCGCTCCCAGCCTTCGGAAGTAAACGCGGGTGGAGGCTGTGTGTAAACCTTCCGCGGGCTGTGCCCATGCTGGTGGCGGGGGAGGGGTGACGTGGGCTTGAGGAGCTGCATGACCTCCATGGCAGGTGCCTGAACCCTTGGTGGGGGTGTGATTTCACACCCCTGCAGGCACCTGCCCTGGGCGAAGGGTCTGGTGGCCTGATGGGAAACGCAGGAGTCCTTTTGGTTGCGGGAGGCAGTGATGTCGCTTGTGTTTGATACACGTTGCCGGTGGATCTAAGTGGAAAGTGTCGGAGCAGAAAGGTGTTACTGCCAGGCCCTGGGACCGTCCTGGGGCGGTGGTGATCAGCACTGCTCAAAACCGACGTTGGACTTACTTCCTTGTGTAAATAACGTGCGCTTCGCTTCACAGAGCGGGGTGACCGCAGGTTGCTTCCCTAGGGCAGGGAGATGTGGTGTCCCACACGGAGTGGGGCGGGCGCGTTGCTTTAACGCAGGATGGGATCCGCATCTGGGGCAAGATGAGCAGATCTGGGGTTTAAGTGTGGCACGTCGGGGTGCGTAACACCACGAAGGCTGCCCTGTGTGGTGATGGTAGCGGGATGTTGTTTCCCTGCGGGAATACTGCATTGCCAAAGGCTTATATGCAACGTGGGATCAAATGCGGGCAGTAAAGCGCTGTACGTGGAGCGGGGGAAGGTGAAAGTGGAGTTGGGGCAGAACAGCCTTGCCTGAGGTGCTCGAGTGACCGTGGGCTGGTGCCAGGTGGGAAGAAAAGAGCTGTAGGATGAGTGGGGCGAGTGTGAAGGTGAAGTTGGTTAGTCAGGGTATGGGAAACGAGGGGAGCGGGCCTGAGGGGATGTAGGTGTGCACTGTTGGAGGAGGGGAAGCTGGCCCCCACGCTCTTCAGGGCATTGATCGTTCTGGCATCCAGACAGGTGGAACCGGAGCAGTTCTGAGGCAAAGGCTTTTCTTTACCAAAAGGAAACCCAAAGAGCCTGATCTAATTGATGTTTGGAGAGGATTATTTTGTGGCTGTGGTGGGGTTGGGGAGGAAAAGCAAAGGACCTCAGTAGGTGAAGGGGTTTCAGTCCCCTCTGGAATTCTGGTGCTGGCCCAGGGATGCAGGCGCAGCCAGTGGTCCTCAGTTCTGCGGAGCTGGTTAACGTGCTGGAGCATCAAAGGAAGGGGTGGTTCAGCTGAGCTCGAGGCACGGGGTACCCCTGCGAGCTCTCATTTTGGAGGGGCAGGGGGTGCCGGAGCGCTGGTGGGGAGGGATGTGTGCAGGTTCTGCTGTGCAGCTGAGCTGTGGGTGGGAAATACCACGCAATTGTTCACGTCAGGGACTGGCTTGGAGGGGTTTGCTGTAGTAAACGTCACCCCGGGGAAAGGCCCTTCCTCCCCAGGGAGGGTGCTGAGCTCCACCGGGGAGGAGGCGGTAATGCCAGTGTCCATGCACTGGGATCTGCGGACCTCGCTGCCTTCGTGCAAAAGCTCCGGGCGCTGAGCGCATAAAGACCAGGTGGGTATCGGACCTCCACGAGAAGGCTGCTGGTCCTCCCCTTTATGTGGAAAACTGCATTTGCCTTTCCCTTGGAAAACAGGAGGAGACTAGAGCACTCTCAGGTGGAGGGGAGAGGGGCTGGGTCACTGTGGCTCCATGTTCCTGCTGCCGGGCATCTGCCCTGGCCTCGCGCTGCCACCGGCCCCTTGCTCCCCGGTGTCTGCTGCCCGCAGCTGCTCAGTGCTGGTGTTCGTAAAGAGCTCTGAGACGTGTCATAAAGCACTTCACAGTGCTGAGCTGATGCGTTTCATGCCTCTAGACCGGTTTTTTACCTGTAAAATCCCGTGCTGTTGGCAGCCCGACGTGCAGCTGGAGCCCGAGAGGCCAGGGCTTTCCCCAAGTGCCTGGGGTTGTCGCTTCTGGTTCCCACCAGCAGCAGCCAGCACGGCTCGCGGTCTTCAGCGGGAGCATCGCATTTGCCGACTGATGCAACGGGCTTCGCAGAGAGAGGGATTAATATCTCGGAATCGTGCTATAAACCAGTTTTGATAGACTAGAAAAAGGGAGGTGGCGGAGTTTGTGTCCTCTGACACACCCAGTTTTTAACCCCACCGCGTCTCGGAGTTCACTGTCAGGAGGTGGCGCGGAGTGGGGTGGGAGCAGTCGCTCCTGCCAGGCGTGGCCTGGGGAGCCCTGCACCACCCTTGGGCTCCTCCGGCGGCAGATGGGAGGGTTAGGGCCGACCTGATGTCTGGTGGGGAGTGCTGCCTGCCAGGCACGGACCTCGCCAGCCTGCGCGCCCGGCTGCTGCGTAAAACTTCCTTCGGCTTCGATGTCTCACAGAAAGCAGTGGAAACGGATTCCGCTGGAAGGCAGCAGCCAGGCCACAGTAGCTGTTCTGCCAGTGCTTGTTCAGGAATGTGTGTTTTAGGATTAAACACCTCAAAACCAAGACACCCGGTGTCTTTTTTATGAGTATGTTTTTCCCCAAACCCAATGTTTCCAAGAGTCCAGAATAGAAAGGGGCAGGAAGTGGAACGTGGAAACGCCTTGGTTAAAGTGGAGGGGCTGACCGGGCCGACCGCCCTGCCCCAGATCTTTGTTTCCCATCGCAAGGGCAGGAGCAGGTGAGCTGGGCGGCAGGTTGCGCATCCCAGGAGGAAGCAGGCAGCAGCTCCTCCCTGGTGCCATCCAGCAGCACCGGAGCAGCTCCCCACGGTTCATACACGGGCAATCTGCCTTTTCAGGCGGTCCTGCGCTCCCAATAGTGCCGCTTTGTTGGTACAACTGAGGGCAATTGTCTGCCCTGGGGCTGCACGGCCGCGCGGTCCGGCCCTCGGCCAGCACAGCTGGCAGCAGAGCAGGATACTGCCCTCATTGTGCCCGCGGCTTAGGAAGCGCGGCGGGGAGGGAGGGGATCTGTCCTTCGTCGCACGTTGTCACTGACAGCGGAGTACTTAATGAACCTCGCATTAGCGCCGAGAGAGAAACGGTTAGAAAACTTGTGGTTTCTCCTCGAAACCACAGTTTGGGGTTTTTTGTTTTGGTTTTTTTGAACAGAAACTTCTGCTTTAGAACAGCAGCCTCATTCATTGATCTGTTCGTGTTAGTCGTGCCTCGAGGTTTCGTGCTCCTGATAACAGCAGCTAGTTTTTAGCTGTACAGCAAAATTAGAGTAATTTCTAGATTGGCTAAAAATAGCTGCAGCTTTGGTAAGAGTCCACTCTGCTGAGTGCAAAATCATCCTCGCTGCACCTGCACAGGGAAGAGCAGTTTATCTTGAATGGCTGTTGGAGGTATTTCAAAGAGCTGAATGTAAAGAATAAAGAGCAAGATTCCAGGAAGTTCCCTGTGTAACAAATGTTCCCTAAAATCCCTCTTCTGCATGCTTGAGGAAGGCGAGTGAGTCAGACTGCAGAGCCTGACGTACCCTCCCACACTGTGCTCCTCGCAGGGCTTTGTCTCACCCCGGCAGAGCCGTGGGACGGGCACGGAGCCCGGCAGAGCCACGGGAAGGGCACAGAGCCTGGCAGAGTTGCAGGATGGACATGGAGCCTGGCAGAGCTGCGGGATGGGCACAGAACCTGGCAGAGCTGCAGGATGGGCATGGAGCCTGGCAGAGCTGCGGGATGGGCACAGAGCCTGGCAGAGCCGTGGGACCAGCATGGAGCCCAGCAGAGCCACAGGACAAGAATGGAGCCTGGCAGAACTGCGGGATGGATGTGGAGCCTGGCAGAACTGCGGGACAGGCACAGAACCTGGCAGAGCTGCGGGCGGGCACGGAGCCTGGCAGAGCTGCGGGGAGGGACTGGGGCCCCGCGCGGGTCGC